GATTCTCCAATATTTTCCCAACAAGTAAAATTTATATATCAATGAGTCGGTAAGCCTAAAACAATTTAATGACTTCATTAAACATAAACTATTATCAATTGTAGTTAGCAAAATGAAAAAAATTAGTGACGTTGTCGCAAACGAAATACTCACTAATTGTGTAGCAGTGTGGAATTGAGTTCGCAATTTAAGCGACCGGCAAATTTAAGGTGAGAATCATGAATATAAAATATTAGAAGAAGAAAAAAATAATATAAAATGAAGACTTTAAAATGTTAAGCGTAGAATAAAAATACAACTGATTAAACAAGTAAAAATATTATAAATATAAAATCAACCTACAAATAATATCATAAAAGATTAGCAAATTCATGATTTTCGTCGTCGTTGTTGTTATGTGAAATTAAATCCAACAAATTCAAAAATTTAGAATTGACCATCATTTTTTATATCAATCACACCACTTCAAATAAAAACAAGAATTCTACATCCCGCGATCTACCTCCTCCACAATGCTCTAGGGGGTTGGGCTGGGCTGGGCGGGGGCATCAAGGTTGGGGTTCAACCAAAAAAAAAAAGAAGAATTCTACATCTTTCTGTACAGTTCAAATGTCCATGTCCACGTCAATAATATTCAACTTAGATAAATATAGAAACAATTGTACAACTATTATTTATGGTAATTTATCACTTTTTAGTATTATTTGCCTAGTAATTTGATTGTATAACCATGCAAATACGATGATTTTCTCTGTAACTTTTCAACTTAATAATTAAAATTTAAACACCATAATTAACTATTTACCACTGCAAAGTAAAATATTAAAAGGACAAAGGAAAAAAAATTTATTTAAAAAAAATGTTAAAAAAGATATAGTCGATTGTTGGGACATTGAAAACTTCCATCATGTACGAATCGGATTCACAACTTTTTTAATAGATTGGAAACCAAAACCATACTACCTGAAAACTTGAGGAGCCTGACCTTAATTTTCGTAACAAGAATTAAAAAGTTTCTATTTTGTTTCTAATAATTAACACATCAAATGGTCAAAATAAATGACGTAGTTGACTCGATCAAAGCATCAGGGTTAATAGATTACTCGTCTATTATTTAGTAAAATTGGTTGCTTCATGCTGATAAAATTACTATTTGATTTGAAGTTTTGATCAGGTTGAACAACTTTGACTGTTTAACTGTTGTCCGATGATCGAGCCGAGCCTTCATATTTGCACATAATGGATTTGTGAGCTGGATCGATTAAGTGTAATAACTACGACTTAAACCATCTAAAATGAAGCAATCTGTCTCCATTTGATGACTATGGCTTAAACTGTCGATGACTGGTTAAAGTTGGATTAGTTTATATCATGGTAGCAGATTCAGTAAAATAATCTCAGTGGCTAATAGGATAAAAGAATACTTTAAGGACCAATTTGAAATTTTGCACAAACTCTGAAATTAATTCCATACTTTTCTTTGTTCAAATGTGGGTTGAACCAAAATTGACTCATCTTCCTCCGTGTCTATGATATTTCTGCGATGGTTCTAATTGTTTGAATCTTTATACTTAACCTGGAAGATAGTCATACCATTGAAATCACATGTTTGATAGTCATACCATTGAAATCACATGTTTGAGTTTATTGATTTCAGTGTAACACAATCAATAAACTAAAATAAATTGGTATACTCGAATTTGTCTATACTTAGAGCCACTCGTTATCCAACTCTACCACAATTTGTTGTGTTTTTTCTTTTCTTTTCTTTTTTTACACACGGCTCAATGTATAAAGTCGGTCCGGGCCTGGGATGGTCCGAGCCAGTTTACTGATTTAGTTGCCTTATTCTTCCAAATTGCAACTACGATGAAAGTCCAATGACCTCTAGTGCAATCAACTTATATTCGAAGACACGTGAAAATAGCAAACGTGAAAAATGAGCTGACACATTGACACAACTTTAATTTTGATGAACGTGTCAACTAATTCTTGTACGTTCATCGACACAATCCAAAGGAAGACACTCGGCCCCTAATTGACAACCATTATTTCAAAACTCTTTAAATCGTATACTTATTTTCAACCACGTTTACACAATAAAATATTTTACACGTAGACCCAAAACTTCTCTCTACATTTTAACCAAACATTCTTCGAAAAATCATTATTCAAAACTCTATTTTCTTAAATCAATAGTCATCAAACAAGGGCTTAATTGCACAACAAATCAAAGTTCAGTAATCTACCAACAAGTATGGTGAAATTTCAGTAAACTTCAAAGTAATTAATCCTTTATTTATCACACAGATTTTCTTTGTTCAAACTTCAAAGGCTGGTTCAAGAGATGAAGAAGAACGTTTCAATTTTCCCATGAAAACCATTTCTTTTCAACTTGTTTACTTCGCACACTACATAAAAACCAGTGGTGCATGTCAACTTGACTTCTCGCTCCGCGTATACGATATTTCTAGCTTTTTTTCCACTAAAAAAAGTTAGTCCTTGAATTTTCTATTACGCTTTGCTCATTTTTGTGTGAACATTATTGTTTCCGACTTTAATAGTATGATGCGCCTTCACCGTCCCTTCCTTGCACAAAATGTCATCTACATGTAAATAACTTGTGGATGGGATATAAAAGTTTGCATAATTCCTGTAAACATGAGACCTTGTCCTTGAGTAAATAACAGTTCAATTCATACAAGCATAAGTATTGCATAATCGGTGGCCATTTTGTTAGAATCATGTATGTTCTTTCGAAAGAAATGTGACCATTTATTCAAACTATCACCAGGTCATCCTCAAAATCAAACCTTATTATCACACATGAAATTTTCATAATGTGTAGTAATGAATAAGTTTGTATTAGGTTCCAATTCTGTTTGAACCTATCCCTAAAAATGAGTTTCAACAGCTCTGATGAATACTCGTCAATAAACCCAAGAACGAAATACGACCATTTATCCAAACTCTCACCTACATGAATTTTTCACAACGTAGTATTGAATATGTTCGTGTTAGGTTCCATTGTGTGTTTGAACCTATCACTGAATATGAATTTCAACAGCTCTGATGTACTCATCTATAAATCCATCATCGGCTGCCATTTTGTTAACTCGTGCTTGTTCTTGTGAAAGAAATGTGAACATTTATCTAGACTTGAACTAGGTCCTCTGTAGATTTGAAATTGTCTCTATATTTGGGTTCTATGTCAGTTTGAACTTGTCTCTGATGAATTCAACGGAGGGCCTTCTACCTGCAATAAAAATAACCAAAAACTCTTTTCCAGCCTCTAATATTTAAACACCTAAAAACCCCATTTGCTTTTTTCAATTTTTTAATCTCAAACCATCACAGATTACATCCTGGCTGATCCAGGACAGTCGCTCAATACGCAAGTGCTGCATTCTAAAGCCACTCTCTGATCGAAATCTCACAAAATCTTGCTCAGATATCAATTAAATTGCGTTCTATGATTATGAAGGAAACAAAATTAAGTAGTACTAATATCTTGAAATTCTTATAAGAAATAAAATTATTTTACTGACATAATCAGCAAATCCCTCTAATATCCCAAAATTCACTATACAGAATGTGATCCAAGTACAATGAATAAACTCAATTACTCAATCTCAAACCTAAATTACATATAGCTATGTAGAAAATTTGTGTAATTGAGGGTTTATCTAACAAATAAAGAAACCCTAGATGTAGGTATGATGAAATTAACAAGTAAATAATAATTTACAGAGAAGAGAAGATTACAGGTCCCTCCTGCACATTGGGCAAGATCCATGTCTAAGCAGCCAGGTATCAATGCAAGGGAGGTGAAACATGTGGTGGCACTGAGGCAAACTTCGAACAATTTCCCCGACCTGGAAGTCCTGAATGTTCAGAAGACGATGCCATGAGATTTCTTAGCAATCAATTCAACTGATCAAAAAAGGAAACAAGAGTATTTGTGATTAGTAGTACCTGAAGACAGACTGAACAAGAGATTCTCTCCCCAGAAGCATCAACATTTCCATCTTTACCAATTGTAATCTTCGGGATCTTTTCAACTGTGTCTCCAGCCAGACCCTTTGATCCACCTGTGTCAAAAATGTTCGCGTCCTCTTCAAAGGTCATTGTTTCCATGGCCCCCATCTGATTCAAGAAAAAGGAAAATTGTTTAGAACATCTCTAAAATAAATTTCTGTTAAATCCCTATATTTTGTCAATCAAATAGAATCATACTTGACTTTGCACAGCACTAAGCATAGCTGGACCAATGCGTTCGCGGACGAGTCTACCGCTTAAAAGGCTCACAATCACATCAATCTACACAATTTCAGAATATTAATCATTAATGTGTATAAAAAGTTTCAATTAAGCAGTTCAATGATAATTAGACAATACAACTAATCTAAAATGGGATGATCTTTCGGGTAAAGCCCGTAGCTCACCAAATACAGTATACATCCAACGCCAGATTCATCTGATTGCCATAAAAGCAGTGAAGACTCGAAGACCTCGATTGAGAAAACAGCACCAGAGATGGCACCAACGGCAGCCCCCCTAACAAACCCACTTTCGGTCTCTTGCCCGATTAGAGCTCCGGTCATTGCACCTAATAAAGTACCAACTGCAGTGGAGGAACAAACCAAAATTCCTTCTTTAGCTTCAATAACGAATACCAGAGAAACAGAGAAAATACCCCTTTCAAATGAGCCTCCCTACACATAAGTTATTTAAACATAATCACGCATACTCTTGGGGGAAAACAATTAATTTTACAATTTCTTAATACTTTACGAAATTGGGGGAAAAGTCCTAATTCAAAATATCACATACGTGGTAACCTAAATCAGAATCAGAAAGCACGTAAATGAATCAAGAACCACAGCCATTTTATTGAACAGTTGCAATATCGATAACCAATTAAAACCCATTTACTTTGAAAACATTAACAAAAAATTAAAACAAACTCACCTATGGCAAAGAAAAAGGTGAAAACTGCAGAGAATACATTTCCGACAATTGCAGACAGAGCGAAGCCGAAACATTGTTTAATTTTGTCGATGAAATACCCGAATGATAACAAAGAAGATGAAGATGAGGGCAAAGGATTAGATGGATATGTGTAAAATTCCATGAATTCTTAATCTCTATTTTGGAAATAATTGCAGGTTTCTCCTTTTTAATATTACAAAAGAGGATGGATCAGCTTAGCCATTATGGAAACATCTATATAAACAAAACAAATATCTACTACTCATGTACGTATGTATATATGTATGTATAAATAAATTATGATAGTATATAACTTATATATACACGTGTCTCTACTTCACGCGTCTCTACTTGGGATGTAGAAAGTAGAAACAATGGAAGTCTCGATTTTCGGTTTTTCCTAAAATTTAATAATATGGTTATCCAGTCTTATTAAAAAAAAAAATAGACTAAGTGCTCGTTTGGTAAAAATTAAAATTGAAAATTTAATCATTGTTGGTCACACTCGTCTAATAAAAGTCAACAATAATGGCTAGTTTTTCAATTTTAATCCGATTTTAATCTCTATCGAACACGCCTTAAGGGTGTGTTTCATTACATCAAGGGTGTGTTTGATTACAATAATGAAATTTACATGGAAATTCTTTAGAACTTATTTTCATGAAAATTATTAATTAAATGTATTTGATTTGTGGAGTTTTCAATTTAGAATATATTATATTTATTCATCTTTTATTGATAAGTAGATGAGAGGGTGTGAGTGAATTGCTTAGAAAATAAAAAACCATAATTTTGCAACGAAAATCTTTTTTCCTTAGTTTTTAGGAAAATATTGTCATCCGATTAACTTTTGAAAATATTTTTCTTTGAAAATATTTTTCATTGAAAAAGTGTCAATCAAACATTCCAAAAGTAAGAATTTTGGTAAAAAAAAAAAAAGACATTTTTCATGAAAAATAAAGTCAATCAAAAACAACTTAAGTATCTAGAAGGTACAATTAAATAAATCATATAATTTCACTTTTAATTGAACATATCACATAATGACACATACACTTCTGCTCTAGCATCACTATTGCAAAATATAATTATTCTAAAAACTATAATGATTTTCTTTAAAAGTTTCATCTAAATAAAATTGAAGAAATTTTCAATAGTATAGAGATTTAGGTGTGTTTGGAGGAAATTAGTATCAATTTTGTGATCGTTGCACACCCACTTGCAGCCGCAGATTTTGACCAGCTATCTCACAAGTGGGTCCCAATTTTCCTCCAAACGGTTAAAAAATTGTCATTATAACGGTCAGAATTCTGATGTTAATTTCCTCCAGACACACCCTTATTGTTATCAATGAATGTGTAAATGAACTATAACTCGTCATTTTTGCTTTTATGTAAAGAAAATGTCTAAATAGTCTGAAATTTTTGTAACGTTTTTTAAAAGAATAGTGGTATTATTTGAAAGAATTGATCAAAAATTTCAAAAAGTGAATATCCTATATCTAAAGTAAATTGAGGAAACTCACCACATAATTCCATCCAAGTTTTTATGGAAATTATTTAATTTTCGTTTTAACAAAATGGTAAGACGTGTGCTTTAAATTTTAATTGATCAGCAAATGATCATCACACGAGAACTGTGACTTACATCTTTTAACTCACTTTTTGTCTATTCACAAGTGTTATCTTTTGTGCGATGTAACAATTTGATTGAAGAAATCAACATGTAAGCATATATTTCCGATGTAATAATTAAAAAAAAAAATAGATTTCTTTAAGGAAAAGAAATAAGAATCTCCAACAAACAGGACATGGTTTTTTGGGTAGTTGGAGTTGTTTTATTTGGTTAGGTGTGGTTAAGTCCATGGTAAGCGTGGTTTGGGACTTTTGGCAGAAAAAGTATTTTTAATATCCAATGAAACTTGGTTAGGTGTGGTTCAAGTCCACAATCACGCGTGGATTGACAACTTTTGGTTTTATATTACAGGTAAAATCCCAAACTAATAGAAGGTAGTAATTAGGTTATCAATCTTCACTTTTTATTCTTTGATGACCACAATTTTACCTTTCATTTTTGCACCTCCGAAATTCTCACTAAATGGCATTTTTAAGTGTAATTATACATTTTTACACCATATTTGTTCGTGTTTTTGCACCACATTTTAATAGTATCAAAAGTCTCTAATATTTGCTCATTGTCGCACTTATGACACATCTTTTTTCGTTGCATTCTTATCATCACTCTTCTTTTAGTTAGCACATTTTGACCTTGTTGAAGGTTACTGTACAGATATTCTTCTGGGGTGTTTTGAAACAATAGGCAAATTATTTGTTGAGATTTTATATTTGTTATTTTTTCTCGTTTAAATATATGATGAGAAAATAAGTTTTTTAACACAGTCCCAATGAATTTTTTGGATGGAAACCATCATTATTAACAACGATTGTGTTACATGTACATAATGATTTTACATAATTGTTTATATAAAATTAATAAAAAAATGGATGATAAAAAAAAAGGTAAGTACAACAATTAACAAATGTTCAAAACCTTCAATGCAACTTAAATGTAGGGTAACAAATAAAAAAATATGGTGTCAGTATAACCACCTTATCTTTTATCTTTAATTGACACAACGATTTTTATTTATTATACCACATACTAAACATATAACAATTAAATTTTTTTTTAAAAATAAACCACAATTTATTAACCGAATGAAAAATAAATAATATTGGGTCTGAAATTTTTTTGATCTTTTGTTAATTTCTCGATTAATTTTGATTTGTAATTAGGTAATTAAATTACAAATTGTAACGATCTATTGTTTATGATTACCGATTACCTTAAGGGTATGTTTGATAGCACACATTTTCTAGTGAAGTATGAATTTTTTTTTTCATTTTCCAAGTTTTGGTGTGTTTGATTGGACAAATTTTGCCAAGAAAATATTTTCTTGAACTTGCCTCACGCGCCAGCTTTTCTGGGATTTTCTGGAAATTGTTTTCTTGAGGTTTTGGTGAGAATCCATTTTTCAGGTTTTTTTTTTTTTTTGCAATTGAAAAACATTCTAGATACAATGGTAAAAAAATTATCACTTTTATTAATAATTTCCATGTAAAACAAAGTCAAACGAATGGTATTCGGTATGGTAATTTTTTTTTAAAAAAATGTAATTTTTTAATTTTATTTTTTTATTTACAATTGGAACAAATTCTAAACCCAATGGTAGAAAAAATTATCACTTTCATGGATAACTTCTATGAAAAATAAAGTCAAACGGATACCAAACTTTTAACATTTTTCAAGTGAAAAATTATATCAATAAAACACAATTAATTACAATTCTCAGTAAAATAATTTCTAGGTAATTCAATTCCCTGAAATTCATTTTCTTTCCAACAATTTTTCACATTTGCAATCAAACGGACCCTAAGAGAAAAAGCTTACATTGAATTTTGATGCATAATGTATGATTTTTCTGAATCTAGTTTACCAACAATTGTAGAAATATGGAGTAATCAAATGGAATGTTTATGGAGAAATTGTGAGTTAATTGTGCAGTGAAATGTTTTTTTGTAATTGATAAAGTGAATAGTAAAATTTAATTCACATTAGCGTAATTAAACTTTATGGAATAGAAAATGAAAAGAAAGAAAGGATAGACGAACAAAAAATTTGAGGCAAGTGCTAAAACACTTTCTCCTTGAAATAAAATTGCCTCACAACGTTGTGAATGGATTATGACACTTGTCTCCCAAATACAACAGAAACAGCTTGTGGTAGAAACGCTTCAAACCACGAGTAACAGTGAACTCAAACAATTCTTTCTCTCAGCAAAAAATAATTTTTAGAATGAATTTTGGAAAGGTTTTGCAGGAGATTTTGATGCAAACTCAATGCAAAATGATATATGATAGATAATAGACGTCCAAATGGTCATATTCATAGAAGAAGAGAGATTGTAAGAGTGGAGACACGCTACAAAATTCAGCATCATTCACGAAAAAAGCATCACTTGATGTTCGGTCTCTCGCTCGAGCGTCAGTGACACATTGTCAACAAAAACTTTTCGCCCGCCTGTAGCTAGTATGTCGCTCGAGCGATGCTTCGCCTCTAGCTAGGTACTAGTCTGCCATTCGAGCGACAGTGTTACCTCTTTTCCTTCTTATTTTTCTTCTAACTTTGAACCGCAATTTATCGTTTATTCGGAATTAATTTTAGGATTCTCCATTTTGCCTCCACTACTGTTACCACCATTTCACTGCTAACTCATTTTACTACTACCACCACCAATAAATTAGTTAGCATTTTAAATAAAATAATATTGCACTCGAATTTTGCATATTTATACTTTGAGCAATGCTATGAGTACAGGAAATTATCCATAGAAAATGGACAAAATACACACAATTGTTGGGTCTCGATTTTTTTAGCAATATTTAGCACCTGTTTGGACGGCATTATTCCTCCATTTGTAGAAAAAATTGTACCATTGAAGGGCCCCACTTGGCCCCTTTTGTTGACTTGCATCTCACACTTTTTGGGAAATTAGAGCTTCAGCGGCACAATTTATTATTTTCATTCTTGGAATAATGTAGTCCAAACAGGGGCTTAATTCATGTGGGCCTCGCCACTCCATGTGAGTGGAATTCAAAATTTCTATAGAAAATCTGTATTTTTTCCTGTTCTTGCAGCCTTTTTCTTATACTTTCTCATTGTGCACAAAATCAAAGTTGTGAACCACGTGCCTTCGTATTTATCTTTTTTTTTTTTGAGTTGAAACTCGTAAATACTTTGTCTGTCTATGTCTATTTCTATTTCTAATAAGGTTGTGTTTGATTGGGTAGTTTTTCCAAGTAAAATGGAAAACAAATTCCATTTTTTCCACAATTGGCTGTTTGATGAGGAAACAATTGCCAAGAAAATCTTTTCCTAGCCATCCCTTCACGTGCCATTTTTCCCTAAATATGGTGAAAATTTTTTCCCACCATGGGCTGCTTTTTTTTTTTTTTTTTT